CAAACAAACAAACAAAAAAACCTCTTTGTTATTGTTGTTGTCTGTATTAGCAGAAGCTATATCCACCATGCACCATGTTGCCCGGCTTGCAGATGCCACTGGGTACAGTGGCAGGAATCCACCATGCTGCACTCAAGCCCATACATACGCTGTAAGCCCACCATAGTGTAGCTCAAGTCCACATGCCAAGGTGTCTTTGTACCTTGGCATCTCTATACCTCAACCTGCATGAGACATGAAGTAGAAAGCTGTTTTTGGCTCCATTATTGTGTGTTTAGATGCCCTTTTAAAACTCTTTTAGCCCTCATGGAAATTTGAGAGTCCCACATTGGTATATCAAATTGTAGTTGGAAGTTTTTGTGTCACAGCTGGCTGACAGTCAGGACAAACCTCTCCCACTCATGTCCCACAAGTAAACACACAGAGGCTTATATTACTTATAACTGCTCAGCCATTAGCTCAGGCTTATTACTGACTAGCTCTTACACTTAAATTAATGCATAATTCCTATCTATGTTTAGCCACATGGCTTGGTATCTTTTCTCAGTTCTGCCTTGTCATCTTGCTTCCTCTGTGTCTGGCTGGTGACTCCTGACTCAGTCCTTCCTCTTCCCAGAATTTTCCTGTTCTGCTCGCCCCACCTGTACTTCTGGCCTGGCTACTGGCCAATCAGCATTATGTTTATCAACCAATCAGAGCAACACATATTCATAGCATACAGAATGACATTCCACAGCAACCATTTACAGAATGCTTTTTGTATGACAAGAGCCCATATAAAAACATTTCACCTATGATAACATTTAATATTATGACAGCTCTATGTAAGAAAAGGCTGTATTTTGTATTTTCTAAATGAGGAAATTGAGTTGTTAAGGCATGAAATAGACAAACAAGCTGGGATCAAACCTCTAGTTTGATCCCTAAATTGTATACTATATATGCTGTATAGAGTAGTGCTTTTCTTGATGTTGCTGCATTTTCATGAAGCATAGTGTGAAGTCGAGAGCCCCACTCATTCTCATGTTCATCATCTCTCCTTTGCAATCAGTATTATTTGTGCATTCTGTGTGCCCCATGAACTGAGAATGTAGGTCTAAATAATTCCTTTACCTGAAAAGATAATACAGTCAAATGTCATATTCACTAGTACATATTGTGGGTCAAAGTGAAGTGATTGTTATAATGGAATCACAATTTGATAATGTATTGTCACATACCTGTAATCTCAGAACTTGTAGGTAGAGGCAAGAAGACCAGGATTTCAAAATCGTCTTCAGTTCCACAGCAGGATTTAGGTCTGCCTTGGCTACATCAGACCATATCTTAAAGTATCGTATTAAGTAGAAAAATAAATTTCTAATAATGTATGAGAATATAGAATTCACTATGACTGGGAAATATAAGAAAGGAGTATCAAAGTGTATTTTAAAATCCTTGGTAAAAGTGAAGCAGACAAGTTTGTGAACAGAGGGATCTTTAAGCATAAACAACATAGAAATGAATGTCTACAATTTGTTTGGAAAATTTACAATATATAGTTAGGGAAATAATAACCTGTATACTCAATGCTCTGTTCTTAATGTTTATACTGCTCATGTTCTTAAACAAAACAAGTTTTCAACAATTGCTACAGAACTTCAGGAAAATCTACACACCCAGATATACCCCTGAACTATTTTATTTCCATCCATCAGGATTGGGGTTTGGACATGGATTTTTGTTGTATCCTCTTGCTCTAAAGACATAGCAATTTGTTCATTGTCCAGTGTGTTTTGTGTTTTCTCCCTGGTATACCTTCATAGATGTCTTAAGCTTTGTTCCCTCACCCCTGTTTTTATAGTGCACCCTTGAATACATTAAGAGAAATCAAAAGATAAAAGATAGAAACAAGGGTTTAGGATCAGAAACAAATGCATTGAGCTCAGATACCTGTGGCACTTAAACTCTAAAACACTGTTTCCTTTAGAAATCTTTAACTTATGGACTTTGTATCTGTGCAATATATTTCTAAGTAGTAAAATTGCATAGATTTTTATAATGGTTATCACATAACACAGAAAAAAGAAAAACAAAGTCATAGGGGAGTTTACATCTAAATAATGCATTCCTTTGTACATGCATATATGTGCATACATATATAACATACACATCTACTCTGAAGGATTAGGAAGCAGATAGGATTTCCTTGAGCCAAGTCCATAACTCACAATTCAAACCTGAAAGTACATCCTGGTCCTTTGTCACACATCCCTCTCTTTAGTAAAGCTCTGTCATTTCTTCCTTAGTGGGCCAGCCCAGCTTATATTCTTATAATGCTTCTGCCAGTGACCTTCTGAAGTCTGCTTCTGTCTTACAAGGGCACATCTGTGTTCCTTAGAAAATTACATTTCCAGAGTTGATATCTCTTAAAGCCTTCATGGTATATCAAGGAGATATGATGAATGGAGAAAATGATAGTACAGTGGGTATTGTATTTTCCTGCTTTTCCATTTTACTTCTTTATAATTTCTAGCACTAATTCTGTTCCTCCAGCACCTTTATTCCATTGTTTTCTGTCTCTAGGATCACACTGCTGTCTGAAACTGGTTTTCAAGAAAGTTCAGTGAGGGCCTTGTTTACACTCTCTAAAACAACAAAGACAATTGAAAGTCATTTTAGATATGTTCTCATAATAAGAGGTATGCTACTGGTATCCACATTAGCAACTATAATAACTTTGCTTATATGGCTGGCTTCACAAAGGGATGTTACAGGCACTAATCCATTTGATAACTGATTGACATCAATATTATTCCTATTTTCATATGAGGATCCACTGTTTTATAATTATGAATTTTCAAGGTACAAATTATCCTTACAAGTATTTGAGTTCTCCAAACAAATACTTTTCTAGAAAACTATACTATCAGCCAAAGGAAAGGAATGGCAAATTATCAAGGAAAAATGTGATCATGATTGCAAAGTATGACATGAAATTTGCATGCTGTTTTATTATAGAAATTTACCATAAACTCTGTGCTCGGTTTAGGTTTTAATGGAGAAGTAACATGCACACTGAATTGTGCAAAGGAGGCGGGTGGTTTCTAGGTTAAGAAAGTTAGAAGAGGTGATTCAAGAGAGAAAAGGGCATGTGGGAAGGTGAAGGGATTTGGAAACTGTGATTTATTTGAAGAGTTCAAAGAAACTTCATGTGTAGGTTAAGGCTAAGAGTATACATCTTGTAAAGATTATGTATGGTGAAAGGATTTGTTCTTTTCCTACCAGTGATAGGAATCTAGTGTGAGACCTAGTAAGATTTTCTTTAGAAAAGACACTGATAGTTACAAAGTTATGTCAGATTTCCTTCAATATTTGAAATTACTTGCAAAGAGAAAAAAAAAATTGACTTGTGGATTTGGAGATTTCTGTCCATCATTCGATGAAAAAGAACCGTGATGTGAGCATGAGGCAAAGAAAACCACTCACCTCAGAGCCAAAAAGTGAGAGAAAAGAGAGAGAGAGAAAGAGACCTTCTTATCCTTGTGCCCTTGAGGTATCATGATGGCTGGGAATATCCTTGGTGACATGAAGCCCTCACACTATATGTTGACATAGCATATATACTTTGTAGGGTATTTGTTGAAAGAATTTTGATATTCAAGGAAATAAAGTTTTCATAGCATATGATTAACAAATATTAAAAATAATTTACTTTAGTATTTGTAATGATAGTGCATATAACACCAATTCTTATTTTAAAGGGGGCAAAGTTATAAACCATTTGGTCCCAATATAAGACATTAATACAGATTTTATAAACTTATACCCTCCAGTTGCCCTATGTCATACATGTACACTTAACACTGAAATATAAGAAACAATTAATTTGTTTCCTAATGGTGGTCAAGTAACAACAGGTATCCACTAAACAGCATAAAACATGTTTATAATGAGTTTGTAGCATTCCAGCAACTATTTAAGTAATTTAGGCCACCAGGTGTCACTAAAGATTAAGCAATGGTGAAAGACTTCCCAGTGTGTAAATTCTACAGAGGCTTCTGACAAGATAAGCAAATGAATGAGAATATTAATTTTAAAAATAATATAAGTAGGATGCTTTTGATTTTTGTTCTTATTTCTTTCTACCTTCTCTCCATTACCTCAGAAGAATACAAAAAGTGAATAATTCCCATACTGAATTCATTATCTAATTTTCATAACTTCTATTTCAAGTAAAAGAATAGCCATCACAGTCCAGCAGAGCATGCTTTTGGTTTCAGCAATTTGTTTGATTGTGAATAATATTTTCATGCTCCACTTTTCTCTGACTTCATAAAAGGATACTGTCCTGGCTCACTTTTATTAATGAGCCTTAACATAGCCACCTTGCTTGTAAGGGGGATTGCATGGGCTGAGCATGTATCTATAATAATGGCCACATATAACGGGTAGTTAATCATGAAGAAAATTCATTAGCTGAATGTCACCAGAAGCCTGTGTCATGAGGCAAATGAACAGGGGACAGTGGTTTGAGTTTTAATTTCCAAAATGAGTACTCATAAGAACAAAGCAGAGAGAGACAGAGAGACAGAGAGACAGAGAGGGACTGAGACAGAGACAGAGACAGATCCTTCTAACTCCCTATGAAATTGAGTAGAGACTTAACTGTGACAAATGGTAGTAGATTCTGTTGAGTGGCCTGAATTACCATAGAGTTTATTATTCATGTAAACTTTTCTACATATTCTTCTATCGAAGAAGTTCTCTTCTTAAACTACCCAAATTGTCTTTTTAAAGTCATGGAAAGCTAAGGCATATATAGTCTTTGAACAAAAAAAATTTTTTTTCTTTGTTTTTGATTTTGTTTTGGGGGAGAGGGTTTCTCTGAATACAGCCATAGCTGTCCTGGAACTTGCTCTGGAGGACAGGCTTGCCTTGAACTCACAGAGATCCACCTGGCTCTGCCTCCCAAGTGCTTAGATTTTTAAAATGACATGTGACACCACCACTCAAGAAGAAATAATTTTTAGCACAATAGTTAGGGTGTTTGGGTGTCATCCTTGTGCAGGGGCCATGCTAATCTTCTCTGTATCATTCCAATTTTAGTACATGTGCTGCTGAAGAGGAGGGATTGTATAAGTGAGAATTGTTGAGACCAAGATTGGAAAAAGCACAGGGACAAATAGCCAAACTAGTGGAAACACATGAACTATGAACCAATAGCTGAGGAACCCTCAACTGGATCAGGCCCTCTGGATAAGTGAGACAGTTGATTAACTTGAACTGTTTGGGAGGCACCCAGACAGTGGGACTAAGACCTGTCCTTAGTGCATGAACTGGCTATTTGGAACCTGGGGCCTATGCAGGGACACTTGGCTCAGCCTGGGAGGAGGGAACTTGACCTGCCTGGATTGAATCTACCAGACTGAGCTGAATCCCGAGGGGAGAGGGGAGTCCTTGCCCTGGAGGAGATGGGAATGGGGGGGGGTACGGGAGGAGGGAGGACAGGGGAATCCATGGCTGATATGTAAAATTAAATCAAATTATAAAACAATAAAAAAGAAATAATTTTTATTCCAGTCTTAATTTTTTTAGAATAATTGCACCATGTAGTCTAGGCTAGCATTGAACTCACTCTGTAGTGAGTTGCACAGAACTGAAACCTCAAACTTGAAGTGATGCCATGGTAGGATGGGAAGTATGCATCACCATTCAAAGCTCATTTTAGGACTCTATTAGTCAAGTCTGAATACTTTGTAGAAATTAACCACAGTTCATATTTAGTTCAAAGACTCTAATGTGTCTATTTACTAAATATCACTTTATATACAATACTTTAGTCCAGGCTCACAGCAAGTGCTTGTTTAGTTTTAATAATGCAACAGTAGGTTGTAGTGGTTAGCTGTTCCAGCTTTGACCTGGAATTACTATCCCCAGTGAGGCTTCCAGTAACTGTCATCCCTACCTGTGGCCTGCCTCTGAGGCAGGGTCAAAATGGGAGCCCTTAAGGCCTGAGATCCGGATGTTCAGCCTCTCTTGGTTCCTGGTAATCTTGGATGTTGGATGGTAGACAGAGCAGAGTTCTCCAGAGAACACCGCTGGATTGCACTTCACCTTTCTCGGATCCTGTAATCTATCCCTTTACTTGTTGTAAGTAAAACCCCCAAATAAACCTCCCTTTGAACTATATGGAGTTGCCTTAATACTTCCACCAATAGTAGGTGATACTAATATGAATCAGAGAATAATAAGAAAGCATGAGGGTGTTATTGAATGGAGACCAAGACCTCTCTAAAAAAGTGATATACAAAAGGACACAGGGAGAAGCCAACACTATTCAGCAATTATTCAGAAGAGAGCTATAGTCTTTAAATTGATAGCCTTTACTTCTTCATGTAAGAAAGAGATAGACACCCTAGCTCCCTGCCATTTTGAAAACTTACAAAAAGCTATGTTACTTGTGCTAACAGTAATCAACTCTAGGTTGGAGAAAACAGATCTATAGTAAGCAAGATAAATAAGATGCTAGCAGCTATAGTGGCTGGAGTATAGGAAGAAAGCTTTCTTCAGAATAAAGAAACTCTGGGCAGTGAAAATGGTAGGTATCTACTGTAATATTGAATATATGGTTTCACTAGATAGTTAAAAAATGGACATGCACATTCCTCACTGGGGAATGCAAGCCTGGGGAAATTTTTTTGAAAGTCATTTATAAACTTTTTTTAAGAGCCAAAAGAATGGCCACACCTCCTTTGACACATCAGCACATCTTGATGGCACACAGTATGAATAATATTTTGAAGACAAAGGCATGAGTGTGTGAAGAGCTTCATTATGCTGTCATTTTAATAGTGAAAAATAAGATTCAGCCTGAGTATTCAATAATATTTGAGAGGTCATAAAAGTATGGAACATCAGCTTGATGAAATAATAAGCACTCATCAGAGTGATAATTAGCATTATGAAACAAAGGGACAGCAAAACATTAAGTGAAAAGCATGCTTTAAAGCCATATATTCATTTTAATTATTTTGTCTTAGATACATACATTAACTAGGGTGAAAGGGAAAAATGACCAGCTTATATCACATATTTAGCAAACATTACTGTAGGTCTGGAGTTTGTTGCCAAGTTTAAGGTGTAAAGTCATGTCCTATCATCAAGCACAACAGCTCATGAAGCATGTGTGGGTACTGAGGAGTGAGGTACATTGGAGGAGTAGGACTCAGGGTAGAGAGAAAGAGAGTGAACAGATGGGAAAGTATGTGTGGAGCACCATTTGCATGTTAGTTTATTTCATACTTCATCAAGTCCATTAAATTTGTAATTTATATTTTATCATGATGATATACATGTAGGTGTATTAGTAGGAGCTCTTGGGAGGAGTGGAAACTACAGAATTGGTATGGCAAAGGGTTTTTATTTGATTTGTTTCCCTAATACATCTGTGCTGTCCAGCACTAGCTGTCCACACTAGAGAGGATATGGACACAGTGACTGCTCATTCCACAAGTCTGGATCTCTTAGCAGTCTCAGTCTGCTGAAGGCCCAAGGAGTCCTGGAGAACATCTGGACTGCAGTCCACCTTGGAGGCCTTAAGAAGCTGGGTTCTGGTGTTAGAAAAACATGTCAGAAGCAGTGGTGGCTGCATCTAGGGAGGTTGAACTTTCCAAGATGACAGAAAGGCTGAATGAAGGCAATCAAGCGAAAAGCCAAATGTTTTCATTCTGACCTTTCTTCTTGCTCACTCTAATATACCATTCATATTTAGATTGTATCTTCCCACTTTATATAATTAAATTAAAAAAAAAACAGTCCTTGTATGTGTGCTTAGTGTCTTACCTTTCTGATTCCAGAGACAATCCAGTTGTCCAATGAGATTGGCCACCATAGTCAACTGAAAATGAATAACTTAACGATTTGAATAGACTCACTTGAAATAATTAGTCAATGAATAATTCAAAGGTTTGACTTTGATTCTCCAAAGATACATCTTATTGTTGAATCAAAAGGAGAAGAAATTAGTAAAAGGCAAGATACTTCCCCACATTGCATTAACAGAGGGAAGAATAACTTTTACTTTGTACCTTAAATGTAGAGTAAAAATCTAGAAGTGATATTATGTTCCAGTTACTGGAAACAGGACTCAAAGGGCAGTGTGGGCTGAAGTAACATCATGAGCTGTATTCAATGCGTATTAAAAACAATGACTTATAAGAGTGAAATGCAAATGGTATGTTAGCGTGCAGTGGACTGGCCACTACTATTTTGAGGAACAGAAATGTATGCTGAGGATGAATACACTGTTTTACTGAGCTCAGTGAAGCACAGCTCATTAAGCATATTGCAGGGGAACCAAGGGTTGGTGGTGGGAGGGTGTCTCCATTAGGAAGAAAGCCTTGTCTTGTCAGTGTGAATTTATCTGTTTGCATGTTCACCTTCCTGTCATGTACCTGGTGCCAGGAGAAGGTAGATAGGTTTGAAAGGCCAGTGAAAAGTACTGACAGGTTAGCAGGAATTACTGTACACAAAATTGCCTAGTTGCAAATCTCTGCCATGTAAATCACAGTCATGCAAACAGGGCCTATGGATCATGCAAATAAGGGAAGTCCTAGTTGGTCCAAGTTCAGTCCTAGTCAAAGGCTTTTAGTCAAAGGATTTGTTCTAGAGCCCAGGGCTTCAGTTCTGTGGTGCCAAGTTATAATTTTCCAAGGTCCACAGTTTGGAATTCATGGACCAAGTCTGTAAAAACCCCCTAATGTGAACTGGCTGCATTTTCTGGATGTTATTTGAATCCTTCCATCCACATAGGCTGCAGCAAGGAGCTTAACTCTAAGACTGACTGACTGGAAAACTAGGGAATTTCCAAAATGGAACACACGTGCTACTTTCTCCTAGTTGTTCCTTGTCTCATTGCACAGGTTAAAGTCAGACACAAGAATGAAGGTATCCGCTGGCACTTCAAGTGTAGTGTTGCAGCATGTTGTCTTAATTATTGCTGACAAAATCACAGAGGTAAAGGGTAGACATTTTGGAAAGAGTTTTTCTCATCTGTGAGTAGTGTTGCTTGCTGTTCAGCCTTGTCCCTGGGTTGAAGGAGATTTACTAATTCATGCTGCTCTTTCCTAATACTGCCCTGGCTTTCCTACGGTGTTTACTCCTCTACCATCAGTGCCATGAGTGTGAAAATAGGACCTTTGCTTAAACTTTTGTTAGCTATTTGATTTAAGGGGTTTTTCTCGCTGTAATATTAGCATTTTGAAACTGCTCTAATAGTCTAAGAGTTTTTCTATATTGTCTGTATTCTTAGTATTGTTTGGATTCCTGCGTTGTAAGACATTTCTAGGAAGACAGAAATAAATGTCTTTTTAACCCTAGATAGTACCTTGATGACAGTAGAAGGGAATGATTCCATTCAAGTGTAGCTTAGTGAACCAGTGAGTTTAGTAGGGTGATTTCCCTGACTAGTGTTACTTGCAAGAACAAGGATAACTGACATGCAGCTAGCTGTATAACCAAATGCCCATCCTAGAGCTGATGCTGATATAAGAAATCTCTCTATAGAGCTGCCTTACCAACTTGCAGCTAGGTCAGTGACATTTGTTTCTTCATAGCAGCTATTATTGCTTATAAATCTATGAAGACAGGCCAGATGAATCTTGTAAATTTCAGGAAATTCAGAGAATTGTGAATTTTATTTCTTGAATCTTGGTGAACCTTTCATATCCCTTGAGGAAGAAATATTTTGAGCATTATTCCTATACAGTGTCATGCTGTGGTACCAATCAGAAGATACTTAATTCATACATTTATAATGTATATATATATTATGAATGTGTTATGTATATATGTATATGAGAATATTCATATATCTACCCTTATCTATATTTATTTATTTATTTATTTATTTATTTATTTTGGTTTTTTAAGACAGGGTTTCTTTGTGTAGTTTTGCTGCCTGTCCTGGATCTCACTCTGTAGACCAGACTGGCCTTGAACTCACAGAGATCCTCCCGACTCTGCCTCCCAAGTGCTGGGATTAAAGACGTGTGCCACCACCACCTGGCTATATATTATTTATTAAATGTACAATTATATCTTTGTGTTAAATTATATATTGTACATTAA